GACCCGACATTCACCACCAATACCTGGAGTCTCTGTACCTCAGAACAATGGGGTCTGCAGTCATAGGCAGATTTTCTTTACAATAGTCATGGGCCCAGTCATAGTCAGAACAATGGGGGCCCAGTCATAAGCAGATTTTGTTTACATATGTATATTTATATTGTTTTCTTTATAAAGAAGGTACTTGGACCCTCCAAACCTACATAAAGAGTCTCAGATCACCGTACCTGAGGTTCGGTACATGGATCCCAAGGGTAAATAGGGTCATGTCCCATCCCTTCTCGGGTAGGGTTCTTTCGGGTCCAGGTTGCCACCGCTCACACGCCACCGAAGTAAAGGCAACGCCCCGACCGAAAAATCGCATAAGACCATATAAGGATCCGGAGACCAGACAAGACCTTGGTGCTTATTTTCCATGGGCTAGCCAGTTCCCATCGGTGCTTATCTTCACCTCATATACACCATGAAACTCGACCTCCAGATATCTCCAAGGTGCCCGGGAAAAGCCAAGGCTTTGATCACCGACTCTTCCGGAGCCACCTGGATCGGACTCGTTGAGCCGAAAACGACGTCGCCCGGGGGGGTGAGCTGACCTGTGGTCGTCTAGGACGACGTTCACGGCGTCTTTTGAACTCTTGGAAGTCTTTTCTTGTTTAAAGCCCTTCACGCGCAACCCATCGCTGGTTCTTTGGACATGGTGGCGGCCTGTGGCCTGTCCCATAGTAGCGGTAGCGAATAAAAGCAAACACAGGAGAAGCAAAAGAGACCAAACAACAAACACATGATCGATTCAAAACACAAAACTCACACTGCTTTTACTTTCTCAAGGCCCTGAAGTCATCTGCGTAGCCGGTCTGCTGATGAATTCATGCATTCTGTCACTCATGAAAACACATGAAGAAACACGTGAACAAACCAACCGCACCCTCCATCCACACCTCGGCGAGCAGGATCCCCACACTGAGGCCCAGCAGCACCTGAAGCTGACTGGGGTGGGATTTTGTGCGTAGCCTCCAAACGAGGCCAGGTACAACATCCCTGGGAGTCAAGAACTACTTGAAAGAATGATCTTTGAAAGAACTTCCTTTCCTTCAGTTTGTAGGGCAAAACATAGCTTTAGGACTAGGGACTTTGTATAACCAGTGGCCACTGCTTGGAGATTGCAGTTGTACACAACTTGAACATTACCAACATGTGAAAGATGCTGGGAATGCAGGATGTCTTCAATGCATCAGCTGCATTTTTTAGCGCGAAATGGATACTAGTGCACACTTTAGTCACAATCAGGTGAACCTGCTAATCCCCCATGGAGGGGCCCGGTGCGACCGGGTCACACCAGGGTGACATGAGGTGCAGCAGCAGCAAACAAGCAGCAGGACAGCACACCCCAAACCAAAAACCATACCAAGCCCAGAAAGCGGCAAAAAGCATAGCAAAAACTTCAAATGTTCTTTGGTTTGGGTTTTTGGTCCAGTCTAATTCTCACCCCAAAATAGGTCTGCGTTAGAATAATCTAAGAAATGTGGGCAGCGCTCTGCAGCGGCCAGACAACTTTTCAACCAGCGACCTGTGTTGTTGACTCTTTAAAAGATCCACAAATCCAAGCCCCCATCTTGTGCGGGAGGCAAAAAGAAGAAGTATAGAGGCATTAAGTTTTGGCAAGCGCATCCGCTGTCGCTGGTCTTCGTGCCAATTTGGGTGGGGAGTGCTAAGACGATGAAAACACCTCCTGACACCCGCAGTTTCACTGGAAAGTGCTGCTTAATGTTTGTTCCACCTGCTTTTGTTTAGTGGAAAACCACCAACAAAGTAAAAAGGGTCCATTGTTCCTGACTAGGCCAGGCCTCAAATGTCCAGGGTTCTCCTTCAAAAAGTCAGCCCGGATCCCGTGTCTGACAGTCCCAACCAATCTGAAGGAAACGGAATGGCCCTGGACCCCCGAAGCACCCGGATCACACCAGGAGACCGACTGGTGTCACTAGCCCACCGACACTTCGAACGTTCGCTCATGTGTTCCATACGTGCAACGCCCCCACCAGCCCTGTGCTCGTTCGGAATCGACTGACAGTCCTGAGGTCGGCACTCCGATGAACACCTCACCAGCAAGCAAGCAACAAAAGGACCAACAAGTCCATCAAACTTGCCAGGAAGACCAGCACCCCAACAAAACCATACAAAACCACCAATCCTCTGGTCTCTGGCATCGTGAGGTCAGAGTCTATGCATCTGATTGTGTGGTTTTCAGATTCCAGAAAGGCTTCATCCTTGCTTCTCTACAGCTCACAACCGTCACCTCTCTTGATCTGTCCTCAAACCCATTTACTCCTTCTTGGTATCTGGTCGGTGTCAGGAAGGTGAAATGGAACCGACTGCCTGTTTGGAGTTATCACTCCTCAAGTACAGATCTCTGTGGCGGGAAGTGCAAGGGTGGCTTGCTTCTTTGCGCTTTACTTGAGCTTTAACATGCTTTGATTACCGCATCAGGACCCACACAACCAAAAACAGTTGCTTCGTAAGCATCAACAAGCCCCCCATGAGATCTAGAATCTAGATGCATCGAACATCATCGAACACTCTGCCCGTCTACTTGAGTTCAGTGGCATAGCTCATGCATAGCTCATTGTCTACTCTACTCCCAGGTGTTCAGGAATGATTTTGAGACCGCCTTGCGCGTCCGCCAACGCCCTCATGGATCGTATCATCCGGAATCAGAAGTGGATGTCAAGCGAAATAGCTAGAACTTCCAACTGTGCAAAAATTATGTCGTTTCATCTATTAAAAAACAGCCAAAAGGCAAACATGTTGCATAGTTGGAAATTCTAGGCATGAACACTTGGAGACTGATCTACATTTTATCTTCTTGGTCCACCCCTGCTCCAGGATGATTACACGTCTCACCAACACATCCTTCTGATGGCAAAACAATCCCCCCCAACAAAATGGTGAACATGTCGTTGGGCCCTTCTTTCTGTTATCCGCCTTGTCCGCGCGTGCACACGCGCGCGTTCGCGTGTTCGGGGCCTGAGTGCCTTTGCTCTGCAATAAGCGCTGGCCGCAGCGGCGTGCCAGCGAGGGTGGCTCCTCTGTCTTCGGGGGCTCCTGAACGAAAGTGGGCGGCTTGAAGAAGCTCATGCATGCACTAGTCTTTCCAAGAAAGCATCTGAGCCCCTGCCTTTCTGATCTCACAGGTAGAAACATCAGAAGGAAAGCAGTGGATTTCTCATGACAAACCTCAACACCTTCCTTCCCTCCATACATTTAGAAGGTCTGCGTTGGCTCCCGTGGTCGCTGCGAGTTAGTTTTCTCCCTATTGACTGGGGAGGATGGATACTACCAGCGACCGGTCGATTCTGTCTGGGTGTGGCTGGACTACCCAGCCCCCTACTGACCAGCCAAACCCCGACGGTCCAGGTAGATCCAAATGACATTGATGATATGGACATATACCCAGCCACACGCCCCACTCACAAAGTGAGACGCACACCTCTGGGATTGGGAACGTACAGTGTCTCAGCACTCCAATTCTTCCGGGCTCCAAACGGCCCGTCCCATACCCTCAGGTCACCGGTGGTAGCACCTTTCACCCCAAATGCACCCACCATCACCATCGAACCGAACCGGAGTTGAGACAGGAGACCAGTCACGGGATACCAGGCTTCACGTCTACCATGGTCCTGAAGCCGTACCTGGTCCAAAGGAGGCTTCGCGTGTACCAGGCTTCTCGAATGGTCTTGAACCCCTTTGACCATCCCGTCTACACGTCTACCGGGTTGTCTGGGACTGTGGACTGCCGAAACGGCCAGGGATGCCAAGGGGTCAATGTGCAGTCACATGGAGTGTCTGGGATCCTTCCGTTCCAACTCGCGGAAAAAACACCCTTCGAACAAACACCAACACACGCACCAACACTCGACCGAACACCAACTCCTTCGAACTGAAGGATCTCCGCGGGAATCGACCCATCCGTCGACGGACGTCCGTCGTCGTCGTTGTCATCGGTCCTCAACGGAGGGACTCGCCTCCGGCATCATGGCGCGCTCGGTCTCTGAAGACTCGTTTCCACCCCCCCCGGAGCCACCCACACTGAGCCGAGAGGCCGCGAGAAGAACCCGCGGAACGACTGGTCAGCGGATTTCCAGCGGAGAGGAGCCGGTTCGTGTTGGGAAGAGTACAGACTCCGCAGATGTGCCGACGGTTGATGATGTGTAACCCCCTGCAGATATGGGTTATACATATGCAACATATTGCAACATTAAACGATGAATGTTTTATATGGTTTGTGAATCAAGAGTCTACAATAGTCTATGTATACATGATATGTTTTTTGGTAGATGGGTGTTCCCATATCATTGCAATGACTGGGATCTCGCAATGACCAACAAAGGTCGGGCCTTGGATACCCTTGGAATCTTCAATGCGTTGATCACCAGAAAGGTTTCTCTTAAAACAAAAATGAGAAGTCAGGACACCAAATATCAGTCCAGAACATCACTTGCTTCAAAGAGCCAAGGGCTCTGCAAGTGTTTTTCTTGGCATCCGAGCTTTCTCCCACAACCCTATAGCGGGGGTTCCTTCGGGTGGAAAGCAACAGATTCCTTGTGACCGCAGTGAAACATTTTTGCGCAAAGAAAACATGGGGCCTTCACTCCTGAGACTCCTTCCTCCTCTCCCCTTCGTCTCCCAACACGTCGGAAAAAACAATATCCGATATCCTCCACAGCCCCCGGCACCTGAACCCAGGCATGCTGCTTCTCCGGAAACTCCAAACACCAAAACAAAAATCGTCACCTTATATATAAACAATACTGAACAAACAAACAAACTAAAATACTGTACTTCTTATCCCAAATCCAGCCAGACCCAGTAAAGCCTGGTCCAAGCGACTTCCTCGAACAATTTTTCTGCATGACTAGGTCCACTGAGATCCTTGACCTCTTGGGTATTGAAAAACCACTAAAATTCCTACTTTCGGACCTGCGAAACGGACCCGCCCCAAACGCCTCCTCGGTGTGCTCACGATCACGGCGTGCTTCCGAGTCACCCTCACCTGCGGCCGTTCTTTAGCAGACGCTCCAAACAGCTGGTCAAATGTGTCCACAAAAACACGTTGGCGAACTCCCGTTGCATCGGGAAACCTTGTAAGACCATGTAAGACCCATTGCTTTGGTCCTGGAAAATTTTCCCCTTGGAACCAGTGTTCGATTTTTAACTGTGATGATTCTAGAGATCAGGTCAATTCGGTGTTCTGAAACAAGTTGTTCAGTTTTTGTCTTCCCCGAAGGTTTCGCCTATAAAAGGTGTTTTCTGCCAACATCTGGCGAGACCTGCTGTTGCCAAGGGCCGTTCTTTGTGTTCAGTGGAGAATTGTCCCGATGTTTGTCCCACAGCGTCGCATTTGTTTGGCAGATTTTATCACCTCATAGTGTCATAGACACTTTCCCACGGCTTTCTACATTTTCTTCTTTGTATGTTGTGTCCTTGTAAACATACTTCTTGGGGCAGGCGGCGGAAATGTCAGTAGTGCAGCACTATGCAGCATTTCTTGGATGTTGGATAGAGCGTGGGAAATGACCAAGCAGAACTGCGGCTCAAGCCTGGCGCCGGAAGCTGGTTGGAACTAATCCATCTGTGGCACAACAATACGAACAGTCGCATCACACTTGCTTCAACACATGTTTTGTTTATATATCCTTATATAACTGTTTAACAACAAGAAGCAAAGAGTGAACCTGATGCAGCACGCTGCCAAGTTGGCCAGCAAGTGACCACAACGAGAGCACAGTCCCGAAGGTCCCGAAGAGTACCAGATTCTGCGAGCCTGCGAAGTCGAAATGCACTTTGAAGATTCCGAGGTGAATGAATGTGCTGTAAATAGCAGCGAATTAGCCAAACACTTCGATGAGCACCTCTGATCAAACACCACTCCTTAACCCTACCGTAAGAACCCCTATATAGTGTGGACACAGTGTTTGGGAAAAAATAGAAGGACCCTCTCCAAGTGTTCTGGGAGGCTGATAATCCTGTGTTGGGCATTCTGGGCAAGGCCGGTGAAGGCCGAAATTGAAGAGATCAGATCCCCAACACAGCCCCAAGCATGAAATTCATATGTGTTGGGTGGTGACAAGGGTGTGTATTTACATCGTGAGACCCCCTGACCCCCTGACTGGTCGTCTGAGTCTGAGTTCATTTGGTTTTCTTCTTCCAAGAGGTCTATGGGGACTCTCCCCATTCCAATAAACGCCCACAGATCTCCAAGGTCGACCCGACCAAAGCAAAAAGGCGCCTTGCATGGGAGATGTTTCAATGAAAAAATCGGCGACCAGTCTTTCTGGAAAAGGACATTGGATCCATACCCTGGGGATCGAAGCACTATAGGGATCCAGTCGCACCTTCTCATGTACGGTGAGGAAGGAGACACTGTTATATATGTAGGTTTGGAAGGTCCGGTCGTACCTTCTAAGACTGTATAGGATTGGATGCCTAGGGATATAGTACTAGCTATTCCATCCAGGACCCCCGGACACCTCCCTCTGAGACACTTCAAACTCGGCCTAACGGAGCTTCACACTCCTAACTGTAGACTCTTGATCAAGCAACCCATCCCGACAACAAAAACACTAATTCCTATTAGGGGGCTATTTATCAAGAGTCTACAGCCGACATGATTCCTTGCTTTGAAGGATTACTTCGGTCCACGTTACGTCCTCCTTTCTCCGGACCGCCCGGACCGCCCTCGCGATGTCACGACATGTCCCGAGACTCCGTGCGCACACCGCATCGCTCGGCTGCTTTAGAGTGGGAGGGCCCAGTCGACTTGGATGTGCTGAATGAAGGAGCCTGAAAAAAAAAACATGAGGATTCCACGTTGATAAATCATGATAAAACAAAAACATCTCCCCTAAGCAAAGCCCAAGAAGATGAACCTCACTCGGAATATCCTCTCAGTCTGTTCATCCGAATCGGATCGGCTGGGCGGCTAGCTCCAGCCGCTCCACTGGGCATCGTGGGTCATGTCAAACTCGTCTACATGGCTTTTCCTGCTCGGGCGAACAGCTCTTCACCCCTGAGCTTCTCCCTAGGTCCTCAGACCATGTCTCCTCGGACCAGCAAGGTTCTCGTCGGACTCCGCAGTGCACAGCAGGGATATAGATTGCACCATAGTCGGCACTTGTCGTGAACTCTGGATGGCTCTGCCATCCAACCGCCTGCATGTTATCCAGTGCCCTTCCTGAAGGTCGACTCCAACATCCATCCCAAGACTTTGGATTTGCTGTTGCTGGACCGCCGGGAAAAAAGGATCAGATCTAAGCATTCCTCGGATGGATGGAGGTTCACCTATCTAAGGAAAACGTCACCCTTTTTTAAGTAAAAACACATGCATGATCTTCTTGAAATCCTTCTTCGATGTCCGGACAAGCTGTGTCCCCTCCGTGAAACTCCGCAGCCTGCGGGATGTCTAGCCTCAGAAAAGGCACGGCGAAGCACGGCTAAGGAGGGCTTGAGGGGTGCACCTTTTGAGCAAGGATTTAGACCTGGACACCCCAAACGCAACCTGTCGTTCACATTCACCAGCAAAAACCACCAGTCATGTAGGCGATAGGTTCTGTCACCCTGGATCCTACGGTCTCATGTCTGATCCATAGTGTCTGTAGTCACACGGACGGGGCAGACTGCACATGACTAGGCAAGGGCTAGCGAGGGCTTAGCAAATGGCCCTGGATGTTCATCGCCAAGAGATACACATGGAATTTGGACAGGGCCCCTGATGTGGATTCCATCCTCTTGACTGGGACCTGTGCTAGGACCTGCGCTTGCATTGTGTGGATGATAGAATGAATGGTCTTTTCTGGGCTTCACGGTGTGTTCCAAGTTTGCAGAAGTCATCCTGTCAAATGAGAATCCAGACTTCAACACAACCGGCACATCAAAACGCAGAATGATAATCGGTCAATAACCACATGCCAGGCTCCGTGTTTTCCAGTGTTCCAGCTTGCGCAGTTCTCAGAAGTGCCAATGTGGTCCTTCGTCACGTAATCCTCCAAGTATATATGCCATTGGACAAGAAAAAACATGTTGACATGATGGAAGCAGCTGAACTGTGTGTATTATCCACCTATATAATATAACCTGACTTGTAGCCCTGGCAATCACTTCCCCGAAGAGGTGGCTGGGTTATTGGCCTGGCCAACTGGCCGAGTTGTAACACTAGACCGAGCTCACTTCCCTCCATAACTCCTCTACCGCACCAAACACACCCGGGACATCCGAGCAACCGCAAGTCCACCTGAGACCTCCGAGCGGATCTGAGCAACCCGGCGGATCTCGCGTCAACTCCAAGGGTGGGATATGGTTCCAGACCAGGATAAGGCTCCAGACCAGGATAAGACTCCAAGCTGCCTTGAAGCTTTTGGCAGCCGCAAATCAGTTCAAGGGCACACTGAAGTGTGGCTGACGGGGGCCAACTCTGGGACACATGAAGATGTCCAGGATGTCCACTTTGGCGATGCCTGCGTTTCTCTGATCACCCCAACCTGTGGAATGACCATTGAAGCAAAACGTTGGGAAAAAAAAACAAGAAAAAACAGCGACCACACAAATTAGAGGATGCTTTGTCCTCCAGTGGTGCAGGATTTGTTCCATGGTGCAAGATCCTTCAGTGAGCTTTTCCTCTCAGGGTCATCCTGCCAAGAGAAGGCTAAGTTCCGGTGTTCAAAACACCCATCCAACCAACGGACCTCCCCACCAACACCATCAGTCTCTCAATCTAGGGAAAACCCGTGTTTTGCCGGAAACGCTTGCTAAGCTTCTATTTTCCATCCACCCATCCGAAGAAACACCATAATAATCATAAGGAGCTTGACCTGATCATAAGGAGCTCTATGTTGACCTGCCATTCAAAAAGCCTTCTTCCTCTGTGGGGCGCCCCGAAAGCGGCCCCCAAACAGCCCGCTCTGGCCAAATGAAGCCTGATACGCACGACCGAGTCTGGGCACAGAACGAACAAATCACTCCATGTATAGAACATTTATACCAATATCCGCCGACCCCGGCCGCAGGAAGGGGGAGCGCGCGAGGGATTACTGGTGTGGGAGCATGCGTCATGCCATGGTTGGCGGTCCTGTGGCCGCTGCTGAGACAACAGCCAAGCCGAAGTGGGCCGTGAAAACGGGACCTGGGGCCACGTCCGGCGCCGCAGCCAAGGGACTATGGAAGCTGGTTTCGCAGCCAAGCCACTGGTGGAAGCTTGGTTCGGGTTTGAGGCTGCGGCTTGCCGAGGGCAGCGGCCTCGTAGCCAGCGTGAGAAAGACCATGGTCTTTGCTGGGGCTTCAGATGGGGCGTTTGGCACCCCGCAAATGCTCCGACAGCGACGTTAGAGACTCTGGGCCCGCACTGGGAGGACAATTTTTGGACGATTTGTGGTCTCGAATTAGATGGTGGACAGGCGCGGCAGAGGAGATTGCCGGGTGCCTTGGAGGGAGGGCACGAGCATGGTGTGGAGAGTGCGAACTGTTTTTGGATGATTTTTGGTCTGGACGTAGGGTTTGCTGGAGGCTGCGTCACGGACTGGTGGAAGCTTGTTTCGGGTTTGGGGCTGCGGCCTGTCGAGAGCAGCGGTCTCGTGGCCAGCATGAGAAAAACCATTGTCTTTTCTAAGGATTCAGACGAGGCGCTTGGCAGCCCTCAAAGGCTTCCCGGGAGGACAATTTTTGGACGATTTTTGGTCTCGAATTAGATGGTGGAAAGGCGTGGCGGAGGAGATTGCCGGGAGGCTTGGAGGGAGGGTACGAGCATGGTGTGGAGGGGACGAACTGTTTTTGGATGATTGGTGGTCTGGAAGTAGGGCTTGATGGAGGCTGCGTCACGACCTTTTTTGAGCGATGTTAGACACCCAGATACAGCGACAGCGGTATGTGAGCGTTGCTAGCCCGCACTGGGAGGACAATTTTTGGACGATTTGTGGTCTCAAATTAGATGGTGGACAGGCGTGGCGGAGGAGATTGCCGGGAGCCTTGGCAGGAGGGTGCGAGCATGGTGTGGAGGGTACGAACTGTTTTTGGGTGATTTTTGGCCTGGACGTAGGGTTTGCTGGAGGCTGCATCACGGACTGGTGGAAGCTTGTTTCGGGTTTGGGGCCGCGGCCTGTCAAGAGCAGCGGTCTCGTGGCCAGCGTGAGAAAAGCCATTGTCTTTTCTAAGGATTCAGACGAGGCGTTTCCTCAAAGGCTTCCCGGAGGACAATTTTCACTCGACTCAGCTGCCAGGACTGTCAACGCAGTCCGGAAATCGGAGTTCATCAGATGTCCCTGTAGAGCATCAGCAAGATACAGCCAGTGCTCCCAGCTGAACGGCTCTCCGGTAAACAGCACCAGCCTTGCCAGCGTTTCAGCAAGGAGCGTCGTGAAGCTGTCAGGCTCCGCTGCAGCTAGCTTCAGCAAGTGCTCGGCAGCAGGCACCATGGTGGATAAGAAGGTGGTATATGATGCGACGAGGCAAAAGATTGAAGGCCTTGATCAGGTCCAAGGTGAACCCTCTCCATGGCTGAGCGCGTTTTTTTGGCTTGTTCAATTTGGAATTGTTGAAGGAATGCGATATCCTGCACCCCACGAAAAGGTAGGCCACCTGAAATAGCGCTGGGCCATGTCTGCGCCCATTGGCTGAGTAATTGGTCTGCCACTATTTTGGGTGTAAGACCTCAGTCCCACACTAAGCAGCCCCCCAAGTTATCATAGTTATAACTTTAGTTATAGCACTTACTGAAGTTAAAAATAAGTTATAAGTAAGTTATATGAAAGAAAGTGTAAGTAAGTTATAAGAAAGTTGTAGAAGTTATTAAGTTGCTTAAGTTGTTTGCGTTGCCAAAAATCAGGGCAGACAACCGCCGAGCCAAAAACACAGAAAACACAAGTGTTTTCAAATTCTGGGCACACAACCGCCACAAGTCCACAGGCAGTCGCACTTTTACAGCAGACACACGACTTTGTCATCTTCGTGGTACCACCACGCTGGCCGCCAGACATTGCTGCAACCGATTGGCACAGCTTCGATCTGGGGCGTTCGTTTGAACGCGCGAGTGTTGAAAACCGCTGCTGATTCTTCCACCAGTTGTTCGATGAAAGCGAAAAATCGCTCTTCTCGTTCCAGAAAGAACAAAGCCAATCCTGCACTGTCACGTCCAAAGAAGAGAACATCATCCTTCGATAACTCAACGCTTCCCTCTTTGTATGTGGTGCCCATGCGGCACTCAAGGCCACAAGCATTGCGAACTTCTTCAGCCTCATACAATGTTCCTGCAAGCTGCGGCTTCCATAGATGAAATTGCTCTGTCTTCCTTGATTCAAATTGCGCAAGAAAACTTTTTGAGCCCTCAAGTGTCTGCCATAGACAAAGAAACTTGGTGGTAAGGAGGTCTAAGGAGACACACGGGGATACACCAGGATACATTGGGATACACGTGTATCCCAATGTATCCCTGTGTATCCTGGTGAGGGGATACACGTGTATCCCAATGTATCCCGGTGTATCCCGGTGTATCCCCTTATCCCAATGTATCCCTGTGTATCTCTCTGTATCCCTGCGCCTTCCGTTTCTATCGCAAAAAAATGATCGGTATGTCTGCGCACAAACAATTTCTTTCCATACAAGATTGCATTTCTGGGCAGAACAACCGCCAAAGGTTAAATAATTGCATTGCGTTCTTTTTCGGAATGCAAGCTCGTCCATCCCTCAAAACTTCTTCATCGAAAGCTCGCTCCTGCGATCCCTCAAAACTTGTTCATCGAAAGCTCGCTCCTGCGATCCCTCAAAACTTGTTCATCACAGACTTCTTGGTATTCGACTTTGTCTTGTCTTTGCAAGTCTGCTTTTTCTCCGTCTTCGTGGCTTTCTGGTTGCAGGTGGAGCGAAACACAAGTTTCATCTCCTGGTTCCACATTGACTGCGGGATGGTATCAATGTGAGCACTTATTAACCTTGTTGGTGAATATACTTTTTTTGCACAGAACTTACAAATCATCAAAAAACAAACATAAAAAAAATAACTTGCGTAACTTGTTTCTAAGTTCTGCAAGCTTCAACATAGCATGTGTCATAACTATGTTATAAATTTCACATGTTTTAGAACTTACTTATATTTGTGTTATAACTTCCAAGGAACTTATCGAACTTAGCAAAGGTTATAACCATATGTTATCCCTAGTTATAACCTATGTTGAGGAAGTTTTTAACTTCTTTAACTTGGGGGGCTGCTCAGTGCATGAGGCCACACGAGTGCCTCAGTCCCATGAGGGAACTGCATAGTTCTGCTGGTCACCGCGAGCTCGACACTGAGGTGCACAAGGCCCTTAGTCAACCATCACTCCCTACACTTCTAGCTCGGCTTGCCACCGCGACACTGGTTGCCACGACTTCCGCTAAATGCAAGCATAATCGACGCTACTTGCTGCTACGTCCTCCTTCTCCATACTCCGCCAGCAGCTCAGCAGCCAGTGCTTGCCCTGCAATGACCTGCTGCGCGCGCTTCTTCGTCTCAGCACGAACCTGCAAGCAACAGACGCTTCCAATGCTCCATGCTGCTCGAAAACATGCATCACTGGAGCCGCAACCTACAGCAACGTGCGAGCCCCTCTGGCGCTTGCTCACAGTGTAGCGGGCCTGACCAGTGGAACACCCCTGGTCCGGGACTATGCTGTCCTGTCCCGGGGTCGGCGGCAGGGGCCGGCCACGGGCCCGTGTCCTTGCCGGAGGCCTTCGGTTGGTAACCGAAGGTTATATACGCTCGCCGCCCCTGCCGCCGACCCTTTTGGTCGACCTCCGCCCGACCCCGTGTCGACCCCCGGTCGACCCCCGGTCGAATCCGGTCGACGGATGTATATGTATCTACCAATTTTTTTGGCGTTGGATGTTCAAAAACATCGTGTTTTACAATGTTTCGTGGGCGTCGGCGGATACGACTTTCGCCTAACAGGGCGCCCATGGTGTCGGTTATGCATGCCGCGCGGACAGGCTTAATCGACATTTCGTGTGTGTTGGGCACATAAGTTGCTTAACATATCCCCAACATAGGCCCAAGATAGCCAACATATCCCCAACATATGCCCAACATAGCCTCCAAGATGGCTCAACATAGGGCCAACATGGGCCAACATACGCCAACATAGGCCGAACATAGGCCCAACCTAGGCCAACATAGGCCTAACATAGGCCGACCTAGGCCCAACATAGGCTCAACTTGGGCCCAAGATGTGCCCAACATAGACCACATGGGCTCAACTTGGCCCAACCTAGGGCCAAGATGCGCGCCAGATAGCTTAACTTTGCTCAATATAGGCCCCACCAAGTCTCAAAAAGAGAGAGAGAGAGAGAGAGACAAAGAGGACCCAGCCCTGCACATACCCAAACCCAAATAAGCCGGCGCCCGGCTGTCAGGCGTAAGCCTCATAAATCCGGGCGCCGGCCAGGACGCCCGTGGCATGCCCGGAGGGCCTTCGGTTGTAACCGAAGGTTATAGACGGGCGCGCCGGCTGCCGCCGACCCTCGTCACCAAAACGGGGGGACCCCCTGGTCACTTCCTGTTCACTGAGGTCGCTATAATTTACAGTGTATCGTGTGTGTGAGGTATAAAAAAACACTATGTTTTACAGGGTTTATTGCGCATATCGAAATACGACGCGGGGAAAAGGGAGAAATGCAAAAATGCTGTGTTTTTGAAGGGTGGTGTCGGTAATGCGCGCCGGGCGGACAGGCTTAATCGACATTTTGTGGGTAGAGGCCCTCCAGACGACTTACATTGCCTAACATATCCTCAACATAGGCCCAAGATAGCCAACATGCCTCCCATAGGGCCAACATAGGCCAACATGGGGCCAACATAGGCCCAACCTAGGCCCACATAGGCCAACATAGGCCTAACATAGGCCAACATAGGCCCAACATAGGCTCAACATGGGCTCCAGATGTGCCCAACATAGACCACATTGGCCCCACTTGGCCCAACCTAGGGCCAAGATGCGCACCAGATAGCTTAACTTTGCTCCCCCGTCTCCGACGCGGACCCGTTTCCGGCACCACCAGGGCCCAGTATGCCCCCGATAGCTTAACGTTCACCCGACCCAGCCCTACACAGACCCAAGTGGGCCGGCGCCCGGCTGTTAGGCGTAAGCCTTTAAATCCGGGCGCCGGCCACGCGCCCGTGTCCTCGCCGGAGGCCTTCGGTGGTAACCGAAGGTTATAGACGCTGGCCCTGGCTGCCGCCGACCCTCGCCACGAAAAACGGGGGGACCACCGGGGCACTGATGCCCCTGTAATTTATATACAGTGTTTCGTGTGTGTGAGGTATAAAAAACACTGTGTTTTACAGGGTTTTGGGCCCCTCGGCGGCCGAGAATTTCATCTTGGCGATGTTCAAAAACGTAGGTTTTTCAGGGTTTTTGCTTTGCGGGAAGGAAAAAATCGTAAAAAGTTGTCTCGGAATATTTTTCAACATAAATTGCCTAACATATCCCCAACATAGGCCGAAGATAGCCAACATATCCCAACATATGCCCAACAACATAAGCCAACACGGGGCCAACCTGGGGCCAACATACGCCAACATAGGCCCAACGTAGGCCCAACCTAGGCCACATAGGCCTAACATAGGCGAACATAGGCCCAACATAGGCTCAACATGCGCCCAAGATGTGCCCAACATAGACCACATGGGCCCAACTTGGCCCGACCTAGGGCCAAGATGCGCGCCAGATAGCTTAACTTTGCTCAATATACGCCCCACCAAGGCCAACATAGGCGTGACATACGCCCCACAGACCCAAGTGGGCCGGCGCGCGGCTGTTAGGCGTAAGCCTTTAAATCCGGCCAGGTGCCCATGGGGCCCCGCCATGGCCGTGTCTTTGCCGTAGGCAGTCTCTCCTCTCCGAAGGAGAGAAGTCCCGCCCCAGCCGCCGACCCCTGCTCGACCCCACAGGAATCGTGTGTTTTACAGTGTTTTCGGCTTCTTCCATTTTTCCGCTCTTGGGGCGCAAGATGGGTCAACATGTCTCAAGATAGGCCCAACATAGGCCCCAATAATGCTGGAAATGCGTGCATCACCGGGGTGCTTCGTCTGCATCGTGGGCGGCTGCTGGGCTAACAAAACAAACAACAACCATCCCCACAACCACCCCCCAGAACACCCACGGCCACATCCACAACCACCACCACCACAACCACAAGAACGACAAGAACCACAACAACAACAACAACAACAACAACAACGACAAGAACACTACCACGACTGCAACAAGCCCTTTGCTTGGGCCCCTGGCCGGCTGTCGGGCGTAAGCCCTTAAATTAATATACCTGTAGCATCCTGCAGTTCAATCATCAACTGTCATACCTTGGGCTGGGCCATCAGGCTCATGGTCCCTAAGAACCAGTAATACCTTTACTATCCTTTACCACGATGGGTTACTTACATTGGACTGTACCTGGACTGGAATAGTTACCATGGATAGGGCATAAATGGGGTAAATGTACCTGTACCATTCAATGGGTGTCCAATGGAGATCCCCAAGTAGTGTAGGCTAGTCCAGCCAGGACACCCAAACAGGATGGTGGTTTGAGTCCGGTGTGATGGGCACCTGTTTTCGTGCGGCACGAGAGATTTGTATCATTGATATCATACCAGCAGAGGTTGAAGAACCCTATAGGCTATCCCATAGGTACCCCAGCAGGGTCCTAGTTCAGGTCACTTAACTTCTGTTGATATCATTGTATGCCTAAGGCTCCAACCACACCCTCAAGTGGGTGGGGGTAGGTGCCAGGCGACTTTCTGCATCTACCTTCTGAGGGAGTGGGACTCCAAGACTCGCCCAGCTCCACCCAGTTGCGCCCCTGGGCGACACACCCAGGCCGACGACCGTGGTCATGGGCAAGCTGCCTGCAACGAGTCCTGCGATCGACGATCGGGCAAGCGGTCGGGGGCAGATGCGGGGGAGTGGCAGGAGTTCCAGGGATGGTGTATGGCGAACTAAGTATAAGACCCAGACACGACTAATGGGACTGGTATATGTGCCGATCGGGCCAGGGGTGGTTTTGAGGGGTCAATGGGGCGGCATATATAGCAGTCCCATGGAGTGTCTGGGATATAGAAGGTGTCAAAGTTGTGACAATCATAATGATAATGTTGAATATGGTGTTCTTCAAATGATGATGCAGTATTGTTCTTGCCTGCTGGGGTGGCATAGCCAGGTAGCGAAGTACTTTGGACTCTCATTCGCCTGCGCTCCCCTGTCTTGCCCCTTTTGCAATTTTTTAGGGCTCCAAGTACCTTCTAAGAAGGTGTTAGGGGTGAGTACTTGGATCCCTGTGCAATTCACATGTCCTTTCTGCTGATTTGTTGCGGCCTCGATCGCCAGAAACTTCCCCCTGAAACCGCCCGCCCCACATCCTCAGAAGGTAGAGGAACAGAAGTCTCCTGGCACCCACCCCCCAAGTACCTTCTCGGGATGTGCTTGGAGCCTTGAAGAAATAACCTTCCTGTCTGAATTCCGAACAACCCTTCTTTCATTAATAAGACTTTTACACTAAACCAAGCTCCATCAAGCTCCCCAATGAACGAACCGGGGGCCCATCAACCGCACGAACGCGACCCGAGAAGACGGATGTTGCCGACTCCGCAGACCTCAAACTCTCTTGGGAGAAACTCCATCCACCTCAAATGGATTGCCCAAAAGCAACAAAGCTTCACGACATGTGGAGTCTCTGTTTGTAACACTGAACATGAGTACAGTCGTACCGAGTCGTACCTGTTTTATAATGTTTTTGTTAAATAGATACTCACGTCCATGGTCCTGAAGTCGGGTCAAGGTATGGTTGTTTCTGGAGGGAGGGTTTGGTTTCAGGTTATATACCCTAGGGCTCCAGTCGTACCTCCTTAGAAGGTATAACTGGACCCTCTAAACCCACCCCAGTCCCACCTTGTAAGATGCTCCTTGGAGCCCTAGGGATAGTATATTGGCCCAAAAGCCACCGCCCTTCTCCCACTGTCTTCCGGCACCCGTCGCCTGCAGCTCCAGGACCCGGGCGTGCCGCCATCGCACTGCCTGCGGGATGTGACACCTGCGCCCGGCGGTGACACCCCGTGGCGGGCGTGCCCTGTGTGGGTGCTGGACTGCTGAAGATATGGGCTATATGAGAGGGGGACAGGGGGAACAAGATGGCAGGACTGAATTAGTCTATTTTACCACTACCACCTGCTTGAAGAATCAGAATTACCAACGACCTGTCTGTGGATTGCCATCTGACTCCCGATCAGGCCAGAGGTTTGGGGATCGATGTAGGCTTGAGCAATCAAACAAATACACACAGGGCTGGAGAGAACTGTGAACTCTCCCATATCGCTTCTGACCCCTGGTTACCTACAGAGGTTGAGTGATCTTATAGGACCCTACAGGGGTACCTATAGGATAGTCTATAGGGTTCTTCAACCTCTGCTGGTTATAGGAATGGTTGTAGCATCATGTTCAGCCATTCAACACCAGGTCACCAGGCGGTTTCGCCCGCCTCGATGGGTGGCATATAGGGCGGCTTGTCGAGACCTGCTAGGCCCAGGCCGAAACTGAATCAAACCCAAACTCATCCTGTCAGGATCCATATACAGTATAGGAGGTTCAACGGGATTTGATGGGCCAGGCATGGCCAGAGCCGGAAGATAGCTAAGGAAGAAAAGAGGAACAGCGCCGATTTGAAACATGCAATAGCTAAGACATGTTCCATGAGTTCCACATTCGAATCATACGTCTTGTCCCCGAAAACCCGAGGATGTTGGTTCTGGGCATCACCCAAAACTCCGAGCATTCCGCTATAGCATTGCCCAAGAAGTGAAGGAAGTGGAAGGACAAAGCAGTGGACACAGGGACACAGGGAAACGTTTTGTTTTGACACATATCATATTATATAAGCAAAAGGCAGTGGAACATTTGGAGCAACCCATGCGTCTGCAGAGACCCTCTTCACGGTGCGGTCAAGACCGCACGCCGAGAAGTACTGCATCGGAACCGAGACGAGACACGTTCTGCATCCTGTTCTGGTCTTACCACGGTTCCCTGAGAGTCTTGGTCAAACCCTAGGGCTCCGTCGGTGGTTAGACACCTGGCACCCACCATCACCATCTTGGAAAAGGAGGTAGTTGGGCCAGGAGCCCTAGGGAAATGACGCCTCACACACCGCGAGCCATGTGCAAGCTGCAGGCATGCTGTTGCTGCTACAAGTTTGAGATTTTCTGAGACTTTGTTTGAGATGTATTGCTGCTTGCGATTGTTTGACATGTTTGAGATTTCCTGAAGGGGTAAGAAACACACACATATATACATGCAATAGTCCTTGAGACGATTTTTGAGCTTTCTGGATTGACATCTATGTTGGATATGTGCACGGATCAACTCCGATTTTTGGACCCCGGTCTAGATCAAACACCTGGTCTTCCCCGATCATTTTGTGGTATTTTGAGGTACTTCTTGAGACAGGCCAGAAATGTCGAGCGCCAATTCTTCAGCTCCTGTTTTTGGTTGTGTTTTGCCTCCATTTGCTGAGTCAAAACGATTGTTTCTTCAGTTTCAGCCAAATGTTCTTCAGTGTTCCAAGCGGTTCCTTTCGGTTCTTCATCCATCTTAGGTTGGCTCTCCCGTTGGATGGAAACACTCTCCCGTGGCGTAAAACATGCGAGTCGCTCGTCAACCGTTTCCGGCGTGTTGAGCTGGGCGTTGGCCTCGTTAGGCACCGACACCTGTTGCCAGTTAGGCACGGGATATCAATGTTTTTTGCTGATAAGCCTAGCACTTCCTGTCTGGGTGCCCTGTCTGGAGATTTGTAAGTAGTGTAGGGTAGCCGACACCCAGACAGGATGATGTTTTTGGCTGATAAACCACATATATATATATACCTAGCAGTTCCAATGGATGCCCAATGGAGATCCCTAAGTAGTCTATTGGACACCCATTGGATGATCCTGGTATATTAATAACGTATAGTAACAATAAACCATACCAGTACCATCCTGTCTGGGTCAGCTGGCTGGACTACCCAGCCCACTATCCGGGATCTCCAGACAGGACACCCCCAGGATGGTCCAGGTAATATCATAGTATTATACATTCATACATCAGCACAAAATAATATTGCAATTGATCTATATATACACGGTCTATACCCCAAAAAACTCCTTCTGTCCGACTTCAATCTCTCTCATCTCTTCAATCCAAACCTTCACCCACGAGGCGTAGAACTGACTTACATGGAGGCCTCCCCCTCGGGGCTGCTCACTGCGGCCCAGAGCGTCCAACCTGGGCTGTGTTGCGAAAATGGTGTGGGTCCAGGGTCGACCCTGAGCCTTTCCAGATACCGACGCGACCCTGTCTGGCACTGCCGGACTGCCACAGACAGACCCCGTTTCAACCACCCCTGGCATATATACCATACATGGAGCGTCTGGGTACGTGCGTGCTTGATGGTGCTAGCTTGTACCATGTTTTTCTGTTGTAATGGAGGGTCGAATGGGTGGAACATATTAGATCTTCCAACGATGCCTCGAATGTTGGCCTCGAATGGCCGCGAAACGAACAGTGTCCATTTCTAATAACACTCCATATGGATAGCAGATTGACATCCGACATTGGGCTGGTTCTAGGGGTCAATGCAAAAAAACAACATTGTAATTATAATATATAATATACCGCACAGTATATATGCCTTTTCGTCTATAAAACCAGCCCCAAGGCAGAACTTTTGCATAGTTGGAAGATCTTATACGGATGATATATGGTATTTCCATTCACGGAGTGTCTGGGATTAGTTTTCGAATAGTTCGGGCCCACTTCTTCGGGTCAGTAGAACGTACTCCTTGGGTCCGTGATGAAGTTGGGCTCGATGGGTTTCTCAAGACCCTCGACGAAGAAATCCATCGACTGGGACTCTGAAGATCAGATTCATCTTCACCTTTTCTTAAGGGAGTCTGGTTTCACCAGTTGATCAGGCATTGGCAGCCCAACCTTCTTGAGGACCGCTGTACTGTTTCAGGATCCCTACGGAGTTTCTCCGGAACGCCCCTTGAGGTCCGATGTTGATTGATGCCGACGCGAAGTCTCCGGCCGCGCGGCACGCGAAGTCGGTCGAAGTCGAGGACTCCGTGTGAGACACCGAAGTCGACCCGAAGCCAAAACGCTCCGCGTCACACGTGCCCCCCAGGACGACCAACGAGACCGGACCCTCCAAACCTATACATAACAGTGTCGAACACATCACCGTACATCAGAGTGCAAGTAAAGCTTCGCCAAAACAGCATTAGGAACTAAATCATAAAGATTCAGACTTTTTCAAGGAAGCTTGCCATTGAAGAAGCCTGAGCCTGCATGAAAGTCTAAGAAGCTGCTCAACAGTAGCCGCTACCTCTTAGACAATCTTAGGCCTACCCTTTTCCACCCCTAGCTGGCTTGAGAACGCCACGGTGGTGGTCGGAATCCGTGCCAGGCGGATTCCGAGTGCGGCCCACGAGTCTCGAATGGATCAACGACCGCACAGCCTTTTGCGACCTCGCAAGCAAGACTGGACGATGCGACCTTGTATAAGGAACACTGCAGTCTCTGAACGTGCGGACCTTGGCACCAGAGCTCCAAGTGTACTATTCTACTCATCAGGAGTGCGGGACTCCGGATCATGCCCCACAAAGCAATGCTGCAACTGCAGCTGGAGTAAAATGCTCGAGCATCTCTCACACTGTTGGTGTGAACTCAAGTTGCACACCTATCACTTCGCACACTGGGGTGGACCTGAAAACTTCCTCATACCTGGAAAACTCCCAGGTCAGTCACCCTCGTGTACAAATGGTGCTCAACGATGATCGAACAAGCTCATGGCACAAATCGATAAGACATGGTTTTAAAAAAAGTTAGTGAGTTAATGAGGCTTGAAGTGCTGTCTCGTGTTCTCGTGATTGGAAACCGAAGCCCTCTGGGTCAACGGCCTTTCAGTTGTCCGACAAGCACTTTCAGTTGTCCCAATGGATCTGGCATATCTCCGACCCATGGACAAGTTCTATTCCTTGCACCACCGCGGGAAAAAAAACTGCGTTTTGAAAGCTGAAAAGGAACTCGTTAGGTGAAAAGGAGCACGCGAACACACACACACACACATTCAACAATTGCTTGGCGCAGCCAGGTGCATCATGGTGCATCAATGCAAGTCATCCCCATATAACTGCGGCCGGGAAAGGTTGCTTTCGGAAAGCCCAAATTAAGGGAGAGTTCAGGCTGGTGACTAACAACCTGCACTTCTTGAGTCCTTTTTGACCGACTAGTGACTATGGTAGAACTCCCCAAAAGTATCTCATGCATCGCATGCATGTATACTCAAAATGAGGAGGGCCAAGGGCAAGGGCAATCAGGATATCGGTGTTGATCCAGATGGGGTTGGGAATGCATCGTGAATCATAACCACTGACACGAGTTCAGTACAGCCATGAAGTAGCATGGCCCATCATGAAACCACTCAGTCAAGTGATCAGGAGGCAAGATGAGCGGCCAGTGCTGCCAGTTCTGCTCAACATGTTGTTCATATTCACACAACCTTTTCCAACGACCGACTCAGCAGTGCAAGCATGTGTAGATACACAAGCGCATGCTGATGCAAAAAATAACAACAAATATTCAGGATGCGCATCTGAAGTCAGGTTTGCTCCGTTGGACGACTGATGTACGGTGCAAATCTGCACTTCCAAAGGTCTCTCCCACAGTCCCAAAGTCCGACAAGAATACTTGAAGACTATAAGGGTGTTTTTTGCGTGTAAATAGAACATGTCTTTACTTGAATGGGCCGCCAAAAGCCTCTGACAAATGCGAGGCTGGATGGATTGGATTTAGGACGTCCTGTTCGGCAACATCGGGCGGAAATCGCTGAACTCAGGATGAATCTTCTTCCGCCTCGCGCAGGAAAATAAGCTTTAAAAAGAAACTCTATGGATCAATATGGAGAAAGCATGACAACCCAGTCAGTTTCCAGGAGTACCTTGATCTGGTGTTGCCAAGAGAGGTTATGCAACCCTATAGGACCCTACTGGGGTATAGTCGAACTGGGGTCCTTCAGTCTCTGTTGGTGATCTAGGAGCCCGGATCTGATCAAACCTGAAGCAAGATTCAAAAGATCGCTGCTACCAAGGGCATCGCTACTAGCAACAAGGGCAATTCTACAAGTGCATCGCTTTAGATCCTGTTTCGTCCCGATGTTTGACTTCGACATCTTCGCTCACAGGTGACCCACATGGCGGACTCACATGGACCAACGACACGGTGAGACATGAAGGGCACCAGTTCTGAACAGTGCGTCCCCTTTTTGGTATGTTGAGGTCACTGAAACCTCTCAAAAGAGGGTCACTATTTAGCTCAAAAAGCCTCAAGTTTGGTCACGAGCTGAAGGAGTTAGAAATGATTCGTGGGTCGCCTACCAGACGAAGTGCACTGCAATTCGATGTGCTGGAACGGATAGCCTCGAGGTGCCCAGGCTTCACATCACTACGGCTGGGTCTATCGAAAGCACCCCAGATAACGACCTGGGACCTGGGATTGCCATCGATTGCCATGTATTGCCGCACTATTCGAATGCCCTCTGAATCCGGGCCCGGTTCACAACACATAGGGCTTGCGAACCGGGTCCCGACCCCCTGGTGACACCCCCTGTGTCCGACCCGTTAGGTAAAGGAAGTCTGGCCCGAGCTCGGTTTCGGCTTGAGTGTAGGTGGCTTCATGGGATGCTGTCAAGTGGTTCAACTGATTCAAGTGGTTCAGGCTCAACCTCAGTTGATCTCATCCCCAAGAGATGGTCGCGGGGGCTCCATGGAGCGTTGAAGCGAGTTCCGATTCCCGGAGCGACGGAGCTCCGTGGTTCGAAGGGCGCCTGAAGATGAACCTGGGGATGAGACGTGTCAAAGGGGCCAGCATGGATAAGACCTGCAGGGAGTCCAGCCACGAACGACACACACACACACAAAACAAGCCGATTTTGACCAAGAAGAAGATGTTCTGTGCATAGAATCATTCAAGATAGTTCCCAGATCCCTCATGAGCTGTATGGTTACATAAGCTACTTTGAGCCAATCCTCTTCAGATTCCACAGTCTTCGGTCGTCTTTGCGAAGGCTTTGAATTATCTATACAAGTACCTGGACCATCCAAGGGGTGCCCTGTCTGGAAGCCTATAGGTAGTGTGGGGTAGCCCAGCCAGGACACCCCGACAGGATGGTCCTGGTAGGTTTTTTTGGGTTGTTTTGTCTTGCCCAGAGTGGCACCATATGGTGCCGTACCTTGAAAGAAGTCACTTCCCGTCACTTCCCCCCTCTTTTCAGGTTCATGAAACACCTCCGGTGAGCAGTCTCTCTGCTCAGACGGCCCCAAGTAAATGGCACATCAAGTCCCTTAAGTCGAAGAGGTACACAAAAAATCCTTTTGATTGCTGTGAATGAGATAGAAAAGAAACCATCACTTACAACATCGATCCCAAAAGCTTGGCCTGTGTCTTAGTAGTCCTTCTCCGATCACCATGAGTCAAGTTGTTTCCTTTCGCCGTGGGGAAGAGCTCATCATCTGATGCATCGACCAGCTTCATCTGCTTCTCCAATTTGAAGATAGGTTCCTTGGTGGATCATCATCAACCAAACTTGCCCTAGTCATCCTTCATCGGCAAAAGCATGTACAGTGTAAATGGACAAAGCTATGATTATGATGGGACCTGATTGTGGATGGTCATGGGAATTAACAGCCCCCTGAAACTGCGGTGGGACCAGGTTTGTCCAATCCGCGCTTCAGGAAACCATCAGGCCGATTCCACACACATGATATCATGATGTCCAATCAAGAAGACACTCCTGGCACCCACCGCAGTCCCTTCGAAACGAAGGTACGACTGGAGCCCAAACCGGATATATATGAGCTTCATCTCGCTGGCCTCGTGAGAAGATCGTTTTCTGTGACTAGTGGTTTTCGTGGCTTCCGCGAACGGCCGACCGACCCGGGGAACGGTCGACCGCCGATCCGGGCTTTGAAACGACGATTCCAGGTGGACGGGTCGCCCTTCCTGGACCCAAAGTGTTAGTTAGTTGCCATGTTGGTCTCTGGACAGTGCAGCCGTTGGCAGAGAAAGCGTACACTGCGACTGGCACCTCTTAGGTGGTAATATGTGGCCCTGAACTTCTATAGAACCACATATAGTACACTATATAGAGCTCGAGTTGAACGAAATAACCATCTCTAGCAGTAAAGAGTTACTCCCGCTCGTCGGCTTCCTGGGTTTAACCCCAG